GCAACATCGTTTCAACATGTTCAAGCCATTTTATTCTTGGCAAAGTGACCTCTCCTTGGTATCAAGAACCTTCGGAATCAGGGTACATTTGTCGTAAAAGAAAACAATAAAAACAACTCATAAAATGAAAACTATTCATTTTAGAAAAATGACCCCTCCTAGATATCAAAAACCTTGCGGAATCAGGGTATATTTATGTAGAGGAAGGCATAAAAAGCCAAACCAAACAAAATACTTAAGTTTATCACAAAGTGCAATCACAACACAAACACATATATTCTTTAGAAAGCATTTTAAAATCATTGATAAAACATTTCGGAAACTTGATAGAGGTCCAATGATTGATATAGCATAACTTCTATTTTGAAAGGCAAGAGACATCTTTCCACGTAAGAGCAGCCTACACTCGAAAACTTTAATGAGACACTCCATAAATCCAATGATAATGCAGAGTGTTGTGCTTTCAAGTGTGTAACAGATGCTAATGCATGATTAATATGATTCCTTAAGTTACTATTCTCATTCATGCTCCTTAAGGGATGATGGGGAATTTCAACACAGTGTGAGATCTTCAAAGGTTATGAGATTTTTGGTCATGATGCCATATGCCTCGAAAAGGAGGACCTGCCATCAAGATTTTCGGTGCTAAAGTTCTCTCTCTCTCTTGATATGCTGTGTTGACAAAAATGTATCTTATGCCATGACTCAAATAGTAATTTGTTGAAAATCGGGAAACAACAAGATTTATTCTATGCATTGACGTAAAACAATATCAATTTCTTCGCCACAAGGGACTTTGATGTCGCAAGGGACTTTAGTGCCGCGAGTGATTTCACTGCTAGAACAAACATTTTGAATAATTAATGATTTGTAATTGAAGTAGATGTTTTCTATGCTGAAAGGCGAGGAATTGATATTAATTTTTTCGCTACGAGGGATTTTAGTGCCTTAAATGTCTTTGGTGCCGCAAGGGACTTTAGTGCTGTAACGAGCTTTGCTGCCAAGAAGGACTTTGATACTATCATAATTCAAATGAGAAGTTCAGGATTTAAACAAATGGTTTCATGTCTAATGTGTATTAAGCCGCAAAACATTGATATTTTGCTACAAGGGGCTTTGGTGCCATGGAGGGATTTGATGTCGTAACAGACTTTAATGCTACAAGGGATTTTGATACCATAAAGGGCTTTAATGAGAAGTTAATGATTTCTAATTGAAGCAGATGAGTATCTAAGGAATTGATATTGATTTTTCTGCCACAAGGGGCTTTAAAGCCTTAAAGGTCTTTTATGTCGCAAGGAGCTTTAGTGTCGCGAGGGATTTTAATACCGCAAGGGGCTTTAATGCTGGAACGAACTATTGATTTTTCCGCCACAAGGGGCTTTAATGCCTTAAAGGTCATTGATGCTGCAATGGACTTTAGTGCCGTAACGGGCTTTGTTGCCACAAGGGACTTTGAGAAGTAAAATATTTCTATGCTGAAAGACGAAGAACTTATATTGGTTTTCTACCACAAGGGGCTTTAATTCCTTAAATTTCTTTGATGTCGCGAGGGATTTTAGTGCCGTATTGGGCTTTGTTGCCATGAGGGATTTTGATACTGATATAATTAAAATGAGGAGTTCACAATTAAAACAAATGATTTTCATGTCTAATGTGTGTTAAGTCACTAAACATTGATACTCTATCGCGAAGGGCTTTGGTAACATGAATGGTTTTAGTGTCGTAACGGACTTTAATGCAACAAGGGACTTTGATGCCATGAGGGACTTGAGACAGATTTGACTTAAATGATGGATTTTTTTTATTGAAACTTGACGATGTAATGATCATTAGCTGGAGCAGTAATGATTTTTGTATCTAGAATACGCTATTGTCGCGATGCAAATAAAAAGAAAAAACATTGATATTCTGTCATAAGGGACTTTGGTGCCATGAAGGGCTTACTGGCGTAACGAACTTTAATGCCCCAAGGGACTTTGATGCCACGAGGGGCTTTGAAACAAATTTGACTCATGATCAAACAGTGATTTCTAGCCATAGGGCAGGAAATGATATGATGATCTAGAAACTCGATGATTTTAAAAAGCATGGTATAACTAATTGGAAAATGCAAGTCATCACGTAACAATTGACTTTCAACTGGAGTTTTTAACTGATCAATCAATTGAGAAAAGACAATGCATTTTTCCTTGTACCCAAAATGAGGTATGATTAAAAACCCAATACAATAGAGATGATATGCAAAATGCCATATTTAGATGATTTAAAGCAATGAATACTCAAAGATAGTTGGATTAGAGAATTTCTCACACTTGAAAAAGAGACAAAAGTAGCCACCTCCACCTCAGAACAAAATGATCAACACATTTCAAATTTGAAAGATATAAACATTGGATATGCAATAATTGTTGATCAAAGATTCACATCAAAAAACACACATTGGAAGGGGGAATGCCCCAGTTTGGACCAATTATGTAGGATAATTCACAAATGAGATAATTGCTCAATCTTGCACAAGGAAGATTATGGTTCTTCAGAATGGGTGCTGGTCGCAAGTTTCAAAAGATTGATGAAACTAAAATTGCTCAAACTGTGTTGATTGATACTCTTGCTGCACTTAAAATGATTGATCACTTCACCTTCTTTGGTATTCAACTTTTGATGAGGAGATTTTTCTTTGGACCATTTTACCACTAGTTTTTAGAGGATTGCTAAAATCGACTCTTTTGTCTTCTTCTTTTTTTTTATAGACCACTTAGGTATGTTTAGTGCTAGTTACCAATTTCTCAAGGATCAAGGAGGACTTCTGACTATGACAAAATGTGGCATAGGATGAGGATTTTGAAACAAATGATAAAAAGCTCAAGAAATATAGACTGCGATGAGTATCGAATGCTCAAATCCATGTTTAGGGCTTTATTCAAAATCAAGCTCTTGTGCTTTCATTTTTCATCAATTAAACTCTCTCGTAATCATGCATGAAAAAATGTACTCTTCATGTCTTTAAATACTATGGGTAATGCACCCGGATGATCGAGGACGTTATTATAGGAAGAAATGTAAATTGGTAAGGTTAAAAAAAAACCAAGAACGGATGCCATTACGAAACAATATCTTATCGATTTGATCATTACATTTGGCCTCCGGGTTGACTTTTAAAATATTATTTAATATACTTATTATTGTTTAATATGTCAAATATATGATGTTAAAAACGTTTCCAATTTTTTGCATTTTATAAATTTTTGAATTTTATTATTTAGTTGTGGCAGCATGGGTTGGCTCATTTCAACCAAATGGTTTAATTTCTTACCACCACCTAGATGAAAACACTATTTTTCCAGGTAGATCTTAAAAGTATAAATTTTTATGTTATTGAAATTATTAATTTATTATGTATGGATTTAATTATAGAATTTAATAATGAGAAGAAACAAAAAAGCCTTAAATATATGATTCAATGAAGGTGAATGCAAATTTATACCTTAAATGTTGGATTTAATGTGGGAGAATTGAATGCATTGAATATCTTAAAATTATCTCTTTTCAACTCATTTAATATCAATAACCAATTATCCTATTTGCCCTCATTTGCCCTCATTTTTTATCAATAACCAATGATCAATGCCCTTGCCACTGCCTTCTGTCTTTCAAAAACTTGACACACATGCCCAGTCCAAAGCAATTGCACTATGCTTGTACTAAATAGAACAGTTTAGGAAACAAAAGGAACATGARCAGATGGCTGCTAATTAAGCTGGATTTGTCCAAATACAGAAGCAGGGCCCGAAAGCTATTCAGTAAGACTGTAGTACTTAAGGTGGTTTGAGTTACTCTCTTCCAAATCAAGAGTGGGTTTTTTCCTTACTCAAATTTCAAAACAGAATGAAGATTTTGGATAGTTTATTAATCTGAGATGACGAGGCCAAATGTCTAAGCTATAGGAGACCATAGAGAAGTGCATCTCTACAAGGGTTACTATAATACAACCCATAGTAAACAAAAAGAAATACATGCAGTCTATTCCAGGAGATAGTCCCCCAGTCCAACTCATACCAAACCACTCCATCCTAGCCAAGGTCTCTGCTTAAGGGTTATCCAATCTTGAAACCTACTTAAATAAGCTGATTGTTCTAAATGCCATTACTCTAGCTTCTCTAATTTAATGGTGCAGAGACCAAGAGCCATTTGAAAAATCACATATACAGATTCCAGACTAACCGCTTGAGAATCCTCCTCTATTTCAATTCTCTCAAGGTCCATCTAAGGTCCTGGAGAAATGCCATCTCACTGCTAATCCCCTCCTCCAATAGGCTGAAGTCCAAAATGGTCACACCGTCATGGCCTGTAATAAGCCCCTCCAATTGCTTTTATTATCTCAAGTTAAAAAGCTTCAATCTAACTGGGCTAACAAGTTTGTAAACCATAAATGCAAAGCATACATGCATGTCTCTACATACATACATATAACATCAAAGCCTTGTTCCAACTATTTGGTGTAGGATATATGAATCCTATTCCACCATCCCATTCAAGGTCATACATATCTTTAGTAAAATGTAAGTCAAAATTTATTTCTTAATGCTTCTACCAGCATGGCCCTCTATGGACTTCCCCTTGTAATTTTTAGACGCATCATCTTCCATGGATCACTTAATCCCTAAACTCTAGTGCCATGATTAGTTTTTGTTAACGCTTCTACCAGCATGGCCCTCTATAGACTTCTCCTAGTAATTTTTAGAGGCATCAGCTTCAATTGGATCACTTACTCTCAAGGTACCATGATTAGTTTTTGTTAAGACAGGTAAACTCAAGTGCATTCATTTTAAATTTCATTCTTCCTAGTATTGCCACTAAGCCATTTTGACATCCTAACCTTCTGCACCAATCCAAAAGGTTATGCATTAATTGTCATGGGGAAAGAATTCCATGTCCAGAAAACCTTGGGACAGACATACAAGCAGAGAGAGGAAATATACACATGAACACGTGCAATATGTATAAATATTTATACATTTGGATATATCAAATTTCCAGGTGATGTACTCATGTACAATTAGTTTTACAGAATCAAATAGAACAAAACTTCTAACTAAACAAAGACAGGGGTAACTCATTGTTCACAAGGATTCAGCAAAAAATATCACAGCTCCTTTGATACCGTTGTCAAATTACAAGCATCTAAGACAAACCTTACCAAGCCAGCTTAGTGAACCATGGATTTATGGATGAACAAAATGCACAAAGCAAGCCAGAATAGATAATATGATTTCACATACCATAAAGAATTGCACCAACAAATGCATCACCAGCACCGGTTGTGTCAATAAGCTCTGAAGATGGTATCTTTTCTGCAGTTCCCACTAGCAGCATCCCACTTAATGTCCCTATTCTATCTGCACTCAATCTCAACACCGTCTGTAAAATTCAAGAAAAGATAAAAAGTTATCACAATAAACATACAGAACATTGACTTAATCCATCAAGAACAGTGTCCAGTGCATGAATGCCAATCCCAGTTGTCAGTTCCAGTCGAAGAAGAGAGGAAACCAGAGAGAGACACGAATTGATGGGGTATGTTCTATGTCTCACACACCCAGAATGATAAAGTACAACAATGTACAAAGTAGTGTACAAAAAGAAATAAAAGAAAGGTAAAATTACAATATTAACCCCCATCTTCTCTACACCAGTATCAGCGTAAAATACAACAGCCAACCTATGATACTCAGAAACCTCTCACTGGTTTTGTCATTAGAAACAAGAGGGGCTCTAAAACTATTTTCTTCCTGTTTGTTTTCCTTTTCTTTTTTTTTTTTTTCTTTTCTAGAAGTCAATGGTTTCATAAATCATAATAACTATTTACCACCTGTTGAACATAGGATGCACTTTGTAGCAACCTTATGATCATATTGACACCCGGGCTATACAAAAGGAACAAAGTGAATAGAGCTTTAATTGTCTACCACATAACTCCATTTACCTTGGATGAAATACATGTCGGGATAGCATTGTTACCATCAATCTCCTACTTCAGTAACTCTAGTAAGTTGTCCACATCGATTTCTTCTAGGTCAGAACCCTCTACTGAAAGTAATGTTCTCCAGTGATTAGAACTCACAATCATAAATCATTAAGCAACTGAACTATATCGATCAATGACACATCCACATCCTTCCAACATCAAAATTGGTGGATTAACCTCATCCTCCACACTCTACAGTTGGAGACTAGATATTGGCATACTCACCATTTATGCTCCTCTCAAGCATTATACAGCCACCCTCTCCAAGGGTCACAATAACAAATTTGATATTTGGCAATCTCAGAAGCATGGAAACAAGTGCACTTGGAATTGATGGGGCCTCTGTCCATTGCTGCCATAACAAAATATTTAAAAATAATAATTAAATAAATTAACAAATCATATGATTTGCAGTCTCATGGAATGACTAAAGTAATGACATCATAAATTTTGTAGCAAAGAACATATGAGAAAAATTATTTTGTCGTTATCCTTTTGAATGAATAATATATAGTTGAAAAGTATTATCACCACTGGGCTTCTAATATATAGTAAAAAATTATTTTGTTGCTATCCTTGTTTCTCCCTCTTCAATGATAAAACAATTAGACAATAATGTGGTTATTTTCTACAGTGGATCATTCTCTTGTATATGAGCAAGATATGCCCCATCATTGCACATAATTCTGATTTTGTTCTCTAAAGGGAGTGTACAATGAGTACTCATACTCATTATTGATTCTGGAGTCCACATTCCTTGGACATTTGCAGTGGTTCCAAAGGATGCATTTTGTTGCAGTTCAAATTTTTAACTGGTGCAAAATTAGTACCAGGTTAAGTTTTGCATTCATTTATTTGTAATTATGATTTGCATTTCTACCTGATATAAAATTTGTACTTTTTGTCTCTTTGGCACTCATTGGCAGTGCAGTACAAATTTCACATCCCAAAAATTGATGCAAAATCTGCACCACGTTCCTCTGACCTTAATTTTCACCCATATAAAGTTGGAACCACATCATCTTGCATCCTACCATACCTATAGACAGATAACCCTCCTCCAAGCTCTGTTCTCTTCCATTTAAAGTGGAGGTCTGATAGGCTGTGCCCATCACAGGCGTTGCTTGAGGCAACCCTTCCTCCTGAAACAGACTTAAAGGGAGAGAGAAGGAACTGAGTGAAAGAGAAGAGAATGAATAGTGATAATTTGCATGTCTTATTCATTTGAAAGCCCTCCTATTTGTACAATTTGAGAGGATATTAAGCCTGAAGGCGTGGCCTTCTAGAATATACAAGCTTGATTGGAGGATTTGGGAACCGAGCTCGTGTCTGGGTCTGGCTCTGGCCCATAGTTTGGGCCTGGGCTTCATCAAGGTCATTTCATTTTATTTCCGATTTTACTTCTCACAAGCAAATAAGACAAAGTCAAATCTGAAGCAAAAGTAAACCAGAATTTACACTCAGCCCTTTTGCACTCCCATGCATTTACACCAATGCAAATTGAAATTTGTACTGCAACCAAAAGCAGCCTAAGGATCAAATCAATAATTTTTCATATACCCATGATTTGTCAGATTGCTTCCACAACAATGTATCTGTGGTAGCGTGTGTTCAAAGCAAATATCAACCACAAAATTATAGTAGTGGCCCATTAATTAGGAGAGGTTAGCAGAAATTGATTAAGAGGATATAGAAAACTGAAAATATACTGGCTGGATAGGCTTCAGAGAATAGAATCTTTGTTGTGCAACTAGGAACAGAGGGGATGGAGAGAACTACTAATCCCTCTAAAACTAATTAAATATCCTTTTTTTTTTGCAAGGTAAAAGGAAAATTTTATTAAAGAAAAGAGAAAACTGAGTACAACCACTTAACAGGTGCTAAGATAGCACCCCACAAAGAAGTTCTTATTATTAAATCTTAGTGGACCTCAAGTTCTTCTTCATCAACATCAGAATCAGCAGTGGCAGCAGGATCAACATGAGCATCTAATCTTTATCTTAAACACCAAGTTCCTGCAATTCATCCACCTTGATGTTTGTTCTTGCTCGAATAATCACTTTGAAGATTTTTCGGTAGGGAATGCTACTTTAAAAGATCAATTCCCTTTCCTCTTCTCATTGTCCTTACCTGAAAACAAAGTTGTGTCTGATTTTGTATTCTTCTCTATTGGTGGCTTATCTTGGGATTTTGGTTTTGAGAAGACGGGRAAAGGTGAACTTAATGGGCTTTTTTTCTTTGCTCAATTATTTGGAGTGTTTTGTCCTTGATTCATCTTCTTCTGATTGGTAGATATTGATCCTCTGACCCTTCAAAAAACTACTCTTGTGATTACTTTTTCAAAGCCCTCACATTCTCTTTCCTCTTCTTTTCCAGTTCAAGAGATGTGGTGCAAACCGGTGCCATCCAAAATAAATGCATTTAAAGTGGGAAGTGTTTCATTTGACAATCAACACATGTGATGTACTTCAAAAGATGAGACCCTACTGATGCATTTTCCCACACATTTGTTCTCTTTGCATGGCAAGTGTATCACATGTTAATATCCTGCCCTTTTCTTACTAGTATTTGGGAATAGTTTTCTTCTCTTTTTTGCTGCAAGTGGAATCCCCTGGATGATATGGGGAATTTATTCAAGAACACTTTCTTCAATCCACCAAGAGAGGAAAATCATGTGAACGTGTACTAGAGCTGCAGTTTTGTGGGCATAATGGGGAGAGAGAAATGAGAGAATCTTTAATCAAGGAAAAAAAAAAGCAATAATAGAATCCATCAAGGTTCAAAACTCCGCAACGTATTGGGCCATATCAGCCGATATGTATCGTTCCGACAAAAGCCTGATATGTGGAACATGTAGAAATCGTATGTTGCATTTGTTTCATGTGTATTGAACAGATACAGGCTCGTATCAGGCTATTTCAGGTTTGTATAGGCCAACACAGGCCCGAAACAGTCCGATACAAATCCTATACACTTAATTCATTTCAGGTCCCCTTCTCTCATTAATTTTGTTAATCTATATTTAAGGCTGAATCCTCTCTCATTAATTTCATTATTTATTCCTATATTTAAGTCCAATTTCTCTCTCTCATTCAATTAGCCAATTACTCCTATAATTTAAGGCATAATTTTAAATTTGAATTTGAATCCTAGTGCCTAATTCAAATTCTCTCTCATTAATAATCCTCTCCCTCATTAACTTTGTTTTACTACTCCTTAATTACACTAGCCATTGGTTTTAAGCTCTTATAATTTTAGTATGAAAACTACAAACTTTAGAGATAACTAAATTTGAACCTTGCTCATTAGGATTTAATGTCCATAAGTTCACCACTAAGCTCTTATAATTTCAGTCAATAAGTTCCCTCTCCATGAACCTTGCTACTTCTTAATGTCCATAAGTTCCCTCTCCATGTCAACAATTGGGACTAATCCCTAAACTCAAGTGCATTCATTTTAAATTTCATTCTTCCTAGTATTGCCACTAAGCCATTTTGACATCCTAACCTTCTGCACCAATCCAAAAGGTTATGCATTAATTGTCATGGGGAAAGAATTCCATGTCCAGAAAACCTTGGGCAGACATACAAGCAGAGAGAGGAAATATACACATGAACACGTGCAATATGTATAAATATTTATACATTTGGATATATCAAATTTCCAGGTGATGTGCTCATGTACAATTAGTTCTACAGAATCAAATAGAACAAAACTTCTAACTAAACAAAGACAGGGGTAACTCATTGTTCACAAGGATTCAGCAAAAAATATCACAGCTCCTTTGATACCGTTGTCAAATTACAAGCATCTAAGACAAACCTTACCAAGCCAGCTTAGTGAACCATGGATTTATGGATGAACAAAATGCACAAAGCAAGCCAGAATAGATAATATGATTTCACATACCATAAAGAATTGCACCAACAAATGCATCACCAGCACCGGTTGTGTCAATAAGCTCTGAAGATGGTATCTTCTCTGCGGTTCCCACTAGCAGCCTCCCACTCAATGTCCCTATTCTATCTGCACTCAATCACATCACCGTCTGTAAAATTCAAGAAAAGATAAAAAGTTATCACAATAAAAATACAGAACATTGATTTAATCCATCAAGAACAGTGTCCAGTGCATGAATGCCAATCCCAGTTGTCAGTTCCAGTCGAAGAAGAGAGGAAACCAGAGAAAGACACGAATTGGTGGGGTATGTAGCTTACCAGGCTCTGTTTGGATGAGGCTTTGTCAAGTTAAGCCTGCAGTCAAGGGTGAGAATGCAGGGAAACTCCAGGGTAACTTAATTCCTAGTCCACCAAACTGCTATATAGGATCAAGCAATAGAAGATCATTACTTCTCTCTGTCTCTCAGAGTCAATCAATGACCAAACCACTTCTTATCATCTTAGCTTGCAGTTCAGATGCTGAACTAAGATCACCTTCCAGGTGAAAAGCATTGAGCATCATCCAAGACATGTCTTGATCAGGAGAAATACCATCAAATAGCATCATGCAGAGAAATTTTTTTGCTTCATTTGCCAAACTCCTTTTGCACAGTCTATTAATCACAGCACTATAATCTCTCAAATATATCTCAAAGCCCATCTCTGCCATCTGATTGAATAGAAAAGCTGCCTTATATGCATCACCCTTTGCACAATGTGCTTTGATTAGTATGGTATAAGCAGTTTTTGTTACTATAATATTATGGCATTGAAGAGCCTCCAGTAGCCTATTGGCAGGCTTTAGGTTGTTGTACACGCAAAGGCCTTCAATGAGAATATTATATGTAACAGGACTAGGCTGAAGATTGCGTCTTAGCATCTCATTATGTAGACAAAAAGCTGGTCTCATGTCCTGAACCTCACAAAAACCTTGGATGAGGGTATTGTATGTAATCTGATCTGGGACAAGACCTTCTGCATACATATTTGAAAGTAACTGTATAGATTCCTGTAGCCTTTTCTGTTTACATAGTACCTTCATAACTACTGTGTAAGTCAAAACAGTGGGTTTTACTTTTTGAACTTCCATCTCATGAAGCAATTGAATTACTGCAGTTAGATTACCCTCTTCACAATATGCATCCATTAGAGTTGTGTAGGTCACAGCAGTTGGTGCAAGACCCTCAGTTAGAACCTTGAGCAACAACTGCTTAGCTTCATCTAGTTGTTTGCTCTTGCAAAGCCCATAAATAAGGGAGTTATAAGTGACAATACTTGGAGCAATCCCATCTTTGATAATTTGCCTGTATAACTGTACAGCTTTATTGATATCACCATGTTTTGCATATCCAAAAATCATTATATTATACAAAATAATGTCTATCTGCAAGTCTCTCTGAATTTGGGTATCGAAATGTGTTCTTGCCTCTGATATCAATCCCTTCTGGCACAGGCCAGATAGAATAGCACCATGAGCAAAGGAGTTGGCAATCATGTTCTTCAATCTCATTTCCTGACACAACTGAATGGCCTTCCCTATGTCCCCTTGCTTGCAGAAACCATGGATTAAAATTGAATAAGTAATAATATCTGGCTCAAGTCCAGTAGCTTCCATTTCATAAAGAAGTTTTATGGCCTCATCAACCTGTCCTTTTTTACAAAGACAACTAAGAAGAACACTGTATGTAATGTTATTTAACTGGAGACCCCTTGAAACCATCTCTTCCCGCAACTTCAAGCCTTCCTCAACACTGCCTATCTGGCAGTATCCACAGATCAGTATTGTGTATGTAACAATATCTGGGTTTAGCCCTTTGTGTAGCATCTTCTGAATGACCATCTGAGCCCCAGTCATTACACCAAGTAAACGGAATCCATTAACAAGAATATTATAGGTTACTACATCAGGCTCAATACCATGTCTCTCCATGTCCTCAGAGAACTCCAAAGCTTCCTCCACTGAGCATGCAACACATAACCCATGAATAAGAGTATTATAACTGTATGCATCAGGACCCACTCCGTACTTTAGCATCATGCAAAGAAACGACTTTGCAAAATCTACAAAACCCAGTTTACAGAACCCTGACATGAGGGTATTCAGAGAGACAATATAAGATCTAGATTCCTTTTCCTTAGTCTCCCAAAATAACTTCACTGCATCTCGTAATCTCAAATGCTTGCATAGACCATCTATAAATATGGCATCGGTATATTCATTCTGAGACACCTCACTGGCTTTGATTTTATGGTATATATCCCATATGATATCCATGTCCCATACGATATCTGTGTGCTTCAGGTTGTACATCAAACTGTTATAGGTTGATGTTGAAACTCTAAAGTTCAAGTTCTTCATCTTACCGAGAACGAAGAGTGCATCGTTAATCATCTCACGTCTTGAATAACCATCAGCCAACACATCCCATACCAGACTAGTGGAATCCCAGCCCCTGAAATTATTACTCAGAAGCTCACAGAGAGAAGGCGCCGAACCGCATCCTATATTAAATAATAGAAAACCAATACATGACTGATGAATATTCTACTGCAGCTTTCTGGTAAAAAAAAAATCTACTACAGCTAGCAATTTGATTATAGAGACTATATGGGTTTCACCAAAAATAAGATTCAACGTGAAAAAGCAAGCAAACTACAACGATACAACAAAAAAAATAATCATTTCTTAACAGTAAAAACAAAACAAAAGAATATACCTTCTTCCTCCAGCATCCACCTTAAAAGCCGACGCAACTCCTTCAAACGCCTTTGTCCCGCCAAAACATGACAAATAACAAACTCGGAAATCCGAGAATGCCGAAAGTTGTACTCACTTCTCAAACAATTGAAGAAAACCAAAGCAGATTCGGCATCGTTCCCTCTCAAGTTTTGGAGAATCTGATCAACTAGTGTAGAATTCAAGGATGAAATTAGGGTTCGAAAGTGACGGCTATTTAGATATTCTTTGACACCAAAGATTTTTAAACCATTAAGAATTTCTGGAACGAGGTCTTTATTGTGGGATATGGATAAATAGATGGAATCGTCTCTAGGGTTAGAGGCGGAGAGATAGAGAGAACAGTCCTCAGCTGCGATTGCCGAAAAGGAGGGTTTTAAGACAACGAAACGAATGAGAGGGGTAAGATTTTGGGTTGTCTGAAGGCAACGAAGCGACGACGTCCATTGACGGAGGAGGTTAAGCATGGAAGAGCTCCTAGGGTTTTTCCGTATCCTGCGAAAGACGAAAAGCCGTTAGTTTCCCGGCAATTTTGAAACGGGAAGAAAAGAAGGAGGAAGTGTCCGAGAGGGGCGAAGGAAGTGAGCGAGCGAAAGCCATAAACCACAGTACTATTTTTATTAATCTAAATGTAATTCATCAAAACAAATTGAAAAAGAAAAAAAGAGGGAAAAGTACGGACAGGCTTGCAGATGAACACCAGGCCAGTCCATATAGAATTTACAATGACATTCAAGTTAGAATTTTAAAAATTAAAAAACAGATTCCCACGCCAATTAAGCATTACACGTGTTTTTCCTCTGAGGTGGCAATCCAGCTCGGATTCTATGTCATAATAATATTTATTTAAATTTTTATTTGAAAATTAATCTTATATTGTAAAGACTAAAATGACCCTACCAGGGCCCACCCTCTTCTCTCTCTCTTTTGTTGTCTCTCACAGTCTCAACTCTCTTCACGTTTCTTCCTACAACTTTTCCCTCGACGACTGAACTTCGGCTGCTCTCCCTCCTATCTCACTCTCCTTTTTTGTGCTGCCATTCTCACAAGAAACCAGCTCTCCCTCTTCTCTCACTCTCTTTCGTTGTCTCTCATAGTCTCAGCTCTCTTCTCTTCGATTGCTTCCTTGCAACTGCAAGTTCTCCTCCCTAGCAGTGCCCCTTGTTCTCACTCTCATTTTCTCCTCCCTCGCTCCCCCTGTCTCCCTTTCTCAGTCTCTCTTGCTCTCACTTTTTCCCGTTCTCGCTATCCATTTTTCACACTCTCATTTTCTCCTCCCTCACCCCCCTCAGTCTTGCTCTCCCTCCGTTGCGCCCTCACCCTCTCTCGCTCTCCCTTCCCCTCTCTATCGCTCTCCTGTTCTCCCTCTATCTCGTTGTCCCTCTCCTGCAAATTTGTCGTCGAGGTTGAATCTAAAGGCATTGGAACTTGTCAGCTAGAGGCCATTTTTTGTTGTTACATAAGTTGAATTTTTCAGGTAGCATTGTCGCCTTTTTCACTTCTATTCCTGTCTCAATATATTCCAGGTGAAGGCCCATCTTAACCGTTCTTATTTTTTGCACAGCATTTGTCACTGCTCCATCATTTTGTTTGCCTTATCCATCAAACTAAAGTTTTGGCCAATACATCGAGGCTTTCCCTAACCAGAGGAAGTTATCATTTTGAACACCGGTGTCACTAACAGGTATTTGACAATTTCTTTGTATGATAGTTTAATTTGTTATAGTCAATCAAAAATTCCTTTCCCAATAAATTTGATTTTTGGTTCTCTTTGCATTTCTATCATAGTAAATAGGTTGTCGTTTTTATATAAAAAATTTTGTTAAGTTGTGTTTGAGGCTGATTCATTCCTGTTGAATGTGCATTGGAGAACGAGTGTGCATTAGTTTACACATGAAAAAGAAGATCAAGCAAGTGTGTACTTGTAAAATTTCTTCTATGGAAGGTCAATCTACTTTCGTTATGAAAATGTCTCTCCAAAATTAAGATGATAGTTTAGTGATAGTCACTCATAACAAACATTAATAATCACATATTGTTTTGTTGTAGACTCTAGGAGGGTGTTTGCCTTCTCAGCATGCTATCCAAATTTCTCTTATAAAGAGCCAAATTGAGTTAATGAGAAACAATAATTTGTAAGTTGAATATCCTCAAATCAAAGAAACCTGAATTTGCTTACCTAAGGTGAGAATTCTGACTAAAATTAAAATAGTAATTAAAAGTGATGTTGATAAAACTTAAATGGGAATAATAACCTTATAACCTTAATATGGAATGATGCTAAAGTAATTACAACGAAGGCCAGCAATAAGCATGGAATAAAGCAAACAAACATGTTTTGAATAGAGGAAAAGAAATTTATGATAAAAATAAATTTATAACAAATAGGCAATAACTGTGGAACAAAGCAAATCAGTGGAAAAAAATTAAACAAACAAAAGTTTGAGAACCAAACAAAAGTTAATTCCATCACACCATTCATAACCTATTGTCATTCCAAAACCACAACCAAAGAGTGTGAGGCAAAATGAAGATAAGTTATAGATTGAGATTGAAGATACACTAGTTTGAAAATCCAGAAAATTGAGATATGTGACTGATGAAATACCAAGGTTAAGAATCTCCTCAACCCAAACCTTACCTTCCCTATCAAATCCACATCTATTTTGTGTAAAGTACAGAATATAAATAGTTATAAATATTTCTCTCATATGGGATACAAATAACTAAATAAGGAAGAGTACTGCAGTGTATATTACACTGAATTGAATCCTGGTTTTTGTATTCCAGACATAAGTTCTTATCCAACCATCCAATAAATTAAGTTCTAATCTTTGGCAATTTTGGACAAGACTGAAACCATCATTCTCTTGCTTGGCATTTTAGGACTTTACCATTGCACCACCAATGGTTCATTCGTACAACCAATTCAATGGCTTGGACTAAGCACCAACTTTTAAGTTCAATCATTTCTTGGAGCTAGGTTTTCCACAAAGTAAATGAAATAATATCCTAGAACTTGGTAAGGACAAGACACCCTCAATTGTATTGACATTGCATAGTGATGATCTATTTAAAAATGAAATAATAGTTGGAAAAAGTACAGACTTGGACCCCCCTATAATGTGTACACAAGTTTTAGGCCTTCTTTCAACCAACATCTCAATTCTCCTATCCTTTACTCCCTTTTGGTCCTCCTTTTCAATGGATTAGAGTATCATCTAGTCCTTTCACTAGACTGAAGGTAGCCCTAACATAGTCACCAAACATCTCCATTGAACACATGTTTTAGAAGAAGAAAGTGCCTAAAGAGAGAACATGCATGGGAGAGCTTAAAGTGATTTAGCAAGTTTCCAAGAAGCGTATGGTGTTCCACCATAAATCCAAGGTAGACCGCACATAATATTGTTATTACATATTAATCACTTCCTAACATTGAATTTGAACGATTGAATGCCAAAATTACCAAACAAGCAAATATTTAGAATGATGTGCATGAAATATTGGCCAAGTCCATTGGTACAAGTAATATTAATTTATTTTTTGTAACATAGATGCTCATGTTGGACTTGAATGACCCATTAGCTAACTTAGCAAAATTTTCTTGGGGTGTGTGGTTGATTTCATGATTGAGTTTACATGAAGCCACCAACTTACTAAAAGATTACCTAAATAGGTTTGAGAAGCTTAGTCAAGGATGAGACATGTGATATGAAGTCATCTGATACTAAGGATTAATGAATGAATATATGAAAGTCATTTGCACCTTGTTTATCTTTACTTGTGGTTCTTCATATCCTAAATGAGGATGGTCATCTTCTCCCCAATAGACTTCGCAAACATCCTAGGCCCATCGGGATTGCAATGAGGGTATATAATGCCATTATGGGAGGATAACAGAATTATAACACCACCATACCTACTATATCTTTCTTTCATTGTGAAATGATATTGCTTGTTTGCAATGGTCATTTTAAGTCTATCTTGGTAAATTTTTAACAAGTTAGTTGATGGTTACCAAGTTAGCACATTTGACACCATATCTGCCAAGGGGCCATTAAGATTTTTTTTTTTGAAGAATAAGATAAAATTCAATAAGAAAAAGAATACATCGGGATGGTGATAAGGCATCACCCAAAGAGGAAATAATTCTAAAAGCCCAACTTTGATCACAGATCCTATACTAATACCTATAGAACTGAATGGCAAAATCTTATAATCTTTTCTCCAAACAACCTCTATCACGGTAAAAAAAAACAAACCAAGATATTCCTTTATTGTCAAATGATATTGCTTATTTGCAATGGCTTTTGCATGCTTTTATATTTAAAATTGTCATTTTAATTCCATCCTGGTAATTTTTACCAAGTTAGTTGATGCTTACCATATTGGCACATTTGACCCTATATCTACCAAGGGGCCAATAAGATTTTTTTTTTTTGAAAAATAAGATAAAATTCAATAGGAAGGTAATAAGGCATCACCCACGCGGAATAAACCCAAGAGCTCAGCAATGGTCCCACTAGTCCTATATTAATACGCCTAAAACCGAATGGCAAAATCTTATAATCTTTTCTCCAAACAACCTCTATCATAATCCAATAAAACAAACCAAGATATTCCTTTATTGTTAAATGATATTGTTTGTTTGCAATGGCTTTTGGAGGTCTTTATATTAAAAATTGTCATTTTAAGTCCATCTTGGTAAAGTGTTACGAAGTTAGATAATGATTACCAGGTTGACACATTTGGCCAATATTTGCCAATGAGCCATTAAGATTTTTTTTTTTTTGAAAATTAAGATAAAACTTATTTGGAAAAAGAATACATTAGGAAGGTGATAAAGCATCACCTAGAGAGGAAATAAACACAAGAGCCCAACTTTGATCTCACAGTTCCCATACTAATACACGTAGAACCGAATGACAAAATCTTATAATCTTTTCTCCAAATAACCTTTATTACAGTCAAATAAAATAAATCGAGATATTCCTTTATTTGCAAAAGATATTGCTTGTTTGCAATGGCTTTTGCAGGTTCTTATGTTATAAATTGTCATTTTAATTCCATCTTGGTAATTTTTTACCAAATTAGATTATGCTTACCAGGTTGGCACATTTTTCCCTATATTTGCCAAGGGGCCATTAAGATTTTTTTTAAAAGAATAAGATAAAATTCATTAGGAAATTGATAAGACATCACCCAAATAAGAAATAAACCCAAGAGCCTAACTTCGATCTCATATATCCCATACTAATACCCCTAGAATCGAATAACAAAATCTTATAATCATTTTCTCCAAATAACATCTATCACAGTCCAATAAAACAATCCAAGATATTCCTTTATTTATTGTCAAATGATATTGTTTGTTTGTAATGACTTTTGGAGGTCGTTATATTAAAAATTGTCAATTTAAGTCCATCTTGGTAAATTTTTATCAAGTTAGTTGATGGTTAACAAGTTGGCACATTTGGCCCCATATCTGCCAAGAGGCCATTAAGATTTTCTTTTTGAAAAATAAGATAAAATTCATTAGGAAAAAGAACACATTCATAAGGTGATAAGGCATTACCCAAGCGGAAATAAACCTAAGAGCCCAGCAATGATCCCATTGGTCCCATATTAATACCCCTAGAACCGAA